TACTGGCCAGTGACTTCTTGGGACAGAGTAAGGCACACATGCTCTGATGGTTGTCAGTAAGTATCTGTGTAACAGACAAATATGGTCCCTCCTGTGCCCGGGTATCTCAGAGATGCACACAGTCCACAGGTCATGATGAAGACAGCAGGAGCTGTGATTCACCCTCTGCTCTGGAAAGGCAAGGCAACCAGCCCACTCCAAATGCCAAACTATTTCCTTACAGGATGAAATCTGCATGGCTCTGTAAACCACCACACCTGCAAAGATGGAAAGCTCCATAAACACCTCTGCCCTTAAAAGCCTCTTGCTCTAACAGGGGACGGATTCAGACCCTAGACTCCACAGCCCTCACCTCCTGGGCAGTCCCAGCATGCACTCTTCCCCTGGCCAGGCTCCTTGGGGTCCTTCTTTAGAAGGGGCCTAGCAAGAGAGCTACACCTGGACAAATGCCTGCCCAGTGTAAAGTGAGCTTTGCTGCTCCTGCAAACCAGGCACTTCTGGCAAACTCAGATCTTTGTTTGGAAAACTTTCTGTTCCGTCCTGTGACAAGAAGGACCCATCAGGCTGCATCTGTTGATCAGTGCTGAATACAGAAATAACTTTTGTTGTGTCTTGCTGTCCATAAAGCTGAACACCCTTTGAAAGCTCAGCAGCCTGAAGGCGAGGATGAGAATAGGCTCTGAATGGCCATGAAAACATCCTGAAGTGACATTTTTTCCCCCCAAGGTTGAGACAGACGTAAGCAGCCTAAAGCCCTGCTTAGACTTTGTGCTCTTGTTGACTGCTGTTATCAAAATGCAAGACAAGGAAGACCATGCAGGGCATGGTTACGCTGTAAAGAACTCTAACAGACAAGCTTTCCTTTTACTGCAAAACAAATCTGAGAAGCAGGACAAACATGGTGAGCACAGTAGCACTGTGAAAAGGAGGCAAAGTGTACCCAAGGTAATAAATTTAATGCTACCTGAAATAAATGGCTGATGAATTGCTTGGAGTCAAAGCTGATTACCAAGATCATTCGCATCTGACTTTGAACAAGGAGCTCACAGAGGTGTGACAGGGGAGCAGGGAAGGGCAACAAACTGTTGTGAAATACAGAAGTCAGCCCTAGATGTTTTCCTTTGCAGACATGGAGTCTGTCAAGTATAAACTTACTATGTCAGGGAGTTTCCTTGTAAATCCAGAGCCACACATGAAAGGGTTCTGATAAGAGGCATCTCCACATGCAGGAAACCCATAGGCCTCCCAGAACTACATTGCACTTTAAGGCATCCCCCTGTGGCTCCCAGGTAGCCAACAAAAAGAAGGAGGTCCCCTCCTCCCCTTCCCTACAGGGTGCAACGTAGATGGGGAAAATCCTTCATTTTTGCACAGGAAAGGAATTGCCTAACTGTTGCAGCCCATCTTTTTGCTCATGGTGTTCAGGCTTCTTTAGCAGTACGCAGAAAGACTTTGCAAGGAGGACGTGTTCAGCTTCAAGTATAAAGCAATTACTGATTGGCTAGCAACACAAAATATGGCTAGGATTTAATGAGCAACTCAGACGAGCATCATGCTCACCATTCCTAGAAGACACCTGAGGAGTCATTGGTGGCCAGGAAGGCATCAGTCAGATGGGGAAGGGCTGGCTTCTGAGGATCCCTGGGACACAGCCTCTGTATTGCTGGGTTGCTTTCATTTCCCAGGTCAGTTGACACAGATAGCTCTGATGACCCCATCAATTACCAGCTCTGGTTTTTTTTCACTTTAGGATTTTATACCTTTCCAAGTTGGTGTTTATCCCTTTGAATCCTTCAGCATCTAAAAAATGTGTCTCAACAAGCTTAGTCCAGTGTGTGATTTTTCTTTTCTTATTTTTCTGTGGAATTTCTTACCATTGCTTCAGCAATTGCAACCAAGGGGACAAAGGGAGTTGCAGATGGACAGGGCCGCTGGAGGCAGGCTGTGGTTTGTACAAAGAGAGGCATATATTTGGGGCCATGATTTGGAGAGCAGCAGAGAGGTGAAAGGGAAATGTATGAACAGTATAACATGATATAAAATCTCAGCTGATTTTTGTGTGGCATCTCCCAGTAGCAGGAGCAGTTTAGGCAGGTCTCAAGGGGACTCAAGAGGAGCAGAAGAGGAGGTACTGTGATAGAGAGTTTTGCATGGAAGACTATGTCAAAGCTCTGTTTCATGCCTGAAGTTTGCTTTTCCTGGGGACAGAAGCCTGGCTGCAGAGGATAACTGCCCACAGTGCCAAAACAATCAGGAAACCTCCAGATCAATGACGTCTTCCTTTCTAGGTTGGGGTGTTTCTGCAGCTCCAACAACCCAAGTGAGAGAATAGAGGAGATCATGACACAGACAAGGTTCGTGCTAAGGGT